TGTTTGAAGACGTAGAAGTCAGCTGGAGGAGAAAGTGGCTTCAAACAACAGGATTTGGAGTCTTACTTCCTGATATCTGGACATCTCTCCTCTGATTGGCTAACAGCAACACCACTCTACCACTGACTGTTTTATCCATCCTTTTTCAGCCGCTTATCCGGGGTCAGGTCGCGGGGGCGGCAGCCTAAGCTGAGAGGCCCAGACTTCCCTCTCCTCAACTTGGGCCAGCTTCTCCAGGGGAATCCCTAGGTGTTCCCTGGCCAGGTGAGAAGAAGAAGAGAAGATCTTTTCTATAGCGCCTCTCAAGATAAAAATCACGAGGTGCTCCACAAAACAAAAAATGTAAAAATATAAAAAAGAATTTAGAAAATGATTAAAAATATATTTAAAATGAGCACAAATAGACAATTGTGATTAAAACATGTAAAGAGAGACATAGTCCCTCCAGCGAGTCCAGGGTCTTCCTTTAGGTCTTCTCCTGCCCTTCTTCCCTCACTCATGAATAAGACCCCGAGATACTTGCCTCCACTTGGGGCAGGAGCTCCTCCCTGACCCGGAGAAGGCATTCTACCCTTTTTCCAACTCAAGACCATCTCAGGCTTAGAGGAGCTGATTCTCATCCCAGCCGCTCCAAAGTCGGCTGCAATCCTGTTCATAAAGGTTATGAACAGAATCGGTGACAAAGGGCAGCCTTGGAGCTGCCAACTCTCACTGGGAATGAGCTCAACTTACTGACGGCAATACGGACCAAGCTCTGACACCGCTCCTACAGGGACCTAACAGCCCGTATCAGAGGGCCTGGTACTCCATACTCCTGAAGTACCCCCACAGGGCCCCTCAAGGGACGCAGTCGAACGCCTTCTCCAAATCCACAAAACACATGTGGATTGGTTGGGTGAACTCCCTCTCACCCTCCAGGACCCCCTAAGGGTATAGAGCTGGTCCAGTGTTCCACGGCCAGGATGAAAACCACATTGCTCCTCATGAATCCGAGGTTCGACAATCCACCGGACCCTTCTCTCCAGAACCCCTGAATAGACCTTACCAGGACGGCTCAGGAGTGTGATCCCTCTGTAGTCAGAACACACTCTGTGGTCCCCCTTCTTAAATAGGGGGACCGCCACCCCGGTCTACCAGTCCAGTGAACTGCCCCTGATGTCCCCGTAATATTGTAGAGTTATGTCAACCAACACAGCTCAACATCCAGAGCTTTAAGGAACTCTAGGCAGATCTCATCCACTCCCAAAGCCTTGCCACCAAAGCCTTTTTAACCACCTCGGTGACCTCGGCCCCAGACATTGAGGAGTCCAACCTGAAGTGCCCAGACGCCACTTCCTCACTGGAAGAATCTCCTCGAAGCCGTACGGAAGTTTTACTCCATGGTCTCATCGAACTCCTACCACACCTGGGTTTTGCCTCCACAACAACCCGATCGCATTCCAGCTGCTTCTGGAGTCCCACAGGCCAAAAGACCTGATAGGAATATTTCTTCAGCTTGACGGCAACCTTAATTTCCAGAGTCCTCCAGCATGTTTGGGGGTTGACGATCCTGCAGCTGCAGCTCCAGTCGGCCACCTCTGATGTTTTGTCTCCACAAATAACACAAGCCTGGAGGAGTTCTGCTGTGTGGTGGAGTAGCTAATGCTAACAGTTAGCTTCTACTAGCTGAGACTTTCTCTGCTGTTTCCTGGACTAAACCAACAACAGCTTCCCCGTCGTGAGTCCAGATGGGTGAGTCCATGAATGTTAGTGACAGTGTGACGTAGATCTGTCAGGATTATCTCATCCTAGAGTTTCACGATCTGTTTTCTATCAGAAGCTAATGCAGGAGGTAGGTGTAGGAGACTATTTTCCTGTTCAGTCTGCATCACTCAGAGTGACGCGTTAGAATCAGAGATAATCATTAAAAAGGGGTTCTGATTAAACCTGCTACTGTTTAGTGTATTATTAAAACATCCCAAGTTCTGCTGAACTTAAATACACATTTATGACACTTTTGATCTTTTTGTACTGAACAGTTTTATTCCACCACAGAAATAAGCGTTTAAATCATGTGGTTATTAAAACATAAAGATGCATTTCATAGCTGCTGAATCAGGACTATTTCAGCTGAAGAACAAGAAAACATCAGAGATGTAATTTTATTAATAACTTACTGCTGCTGGTTGTTACGACAACCGATAGATGAACTTAAAGGTGAAACGCTTGTAAGATATTGATTTATAGATCAGAGGTAAAGTGAGCTCTCTTTGTGTGTGTGTGTGTGTGTGTGTGTGTGTGTGTATGTGTGTGTGGTTTGGTCTGATGACCTGCATTTCAAAAAAAAAAAAAAAAGAGTAATAACCTCACAGATGGCAAGGGGCCGGTCCGGAGCGGACTATACGATGGAGAACAATTGTTGAGGCTTGATTGCTCAAGGAGCACAAGGCAGAACTGACAGGGGGAGGGGTGAGTTTGTAGATGTGTGTGTGTGTGTGTGTGTGTGTGTGTGTGGGTTGTTTAACTTTAACTAGGCCACTATTACCCATCTCTCTCTCATTCCCTCCCTCTCCCCCCAGATCAAACGGGGGATCATACGCTGCTCCGGCTTTGATTCATCATCAGCTGAAGTATGAGGGAATGATTAGTATTCTCTCAGAGCCGCATTCTTCCCTCCCAGTGGGGAGATGATTCAGGATTATAGGAAAGGTGCAGGAGTCAGGAGCTGTAAAAGGACAGTAAATCCGCCTGTCACTTATGCAAAGTGATGTAAATGGGGTCCCTGATTAAGACACACAGTCATTTAAAAAACTGGGATTCGTAGAGCCACGACACACTCCTGAGCCTGACACACACACACCCTCTAATCCATTCACACACACACATTAAAATCCCCCGCTGCCCCGCTCCTGCCACTAGAGCAGTTTATCAAGTAATTATTGTTTGATTACAGCATTTCATTATCTGCTCTGATTGAGTCACAACCAACGGCAAAGGTCAAGCGCCATTAACGCACTGCTGCTGAAACATATTTCTGCGCCAGCCGCGTGTTTGCCCTCCCTCTCCTCTGAAAGGGCTAATTGCACATGCATTTGTTTGAGGGACAGGAGACCATCGTCTCCGCAGTGTCCCACCAGAACCATGTAATCAGTGTGGAATCTGACAGCGGGAGGACACAGGAGCCGTTCGAGACGACATTCAGGAATATCAAAACCAGGTCCGACAACCATTCAGACCGTCAGCGGACAGAATGGTTTCACAGCGGTCCCAACAAACTTAGAATACTTCCTGGTTTGAGGAAAACTGAAATGTTTGAGTGATGGCTAATTAGGGATGTGATAGAATGTCACGCATTTGTGTGGAAAACTCAGGTGATCCTGAAAAGTGTTTAAAATGCCACGATCAGAGGTACAAGAATAAAATTTATCATCTTCAACCATTTAAACTTTGGAATCTGCAAGAAAAATAGCTAAAACTTCCAAGACTGAAGTCTGGCATTTACCAGAGGATTTACAATCAAACATTTGTGAGAGTCTCTGGGATTAGGCGTGTCTGGATTTACTCTGAGATGAAAATTTTACTGAAAAAATTCATGAAAAGTTTCCACTGGAATCCTGACAGGGAATCAAGAAGCATCCGATCGCCGATCAAACACCCAGTTTTAAGATTTCCTTGTTTCCAGAATCCTTTTCCAAGTGAGATCAGGAATTAGGAAAATGATTCCTGGTTTTTACTTTACAACAGGCTTTACTTTACAACAGCCTTTACTTTACAGGAGGCTTTATGTTACAACAACCTTCACTTTACAACAACCTTCACTTGACAACAGCCTTTACTTTATAACAGCCTTTACTTTATAACAGCCTTTGCATCAGCTTTCACTTTACAACAGCTTTTATTTTACAACAGCCTTTACTTTACAACAGCCTTTACTTTATAACAGCCTTTGCATCAGCTTTCACTTTACAACAGCTTTTATTTTACAACAGCCTTTACAGGAGCCTTTACTTTACAACAACCTTTACTTTTCAACCGCCTTTACTATACAGGAGCCTTTACTTTACAACAGCCTTTACTTTACAGGAGCCTTTACAGGAGCCTTTACTTTACAACAGCCTTTACTTTACATGAGCCGGAAAAGAAAAAAATCCTGAAGTTAAAAAAAGATGTTTGAATAAATAGTGAAATGTGTATTCCAGTCTATTACACTAATAGTAATATGATTATTTTTGTATTATTGATGATTTTTGCTCCAAAAAGATCAAATTCAGTAACAATAAAATTTTCGATTTTTTTTCTTGCTGTAAACTTTGTGATTCTTTCAAAAACTGATTTCAAGATAAAACCGGAAATCTTAAATTTACTGTAATTTTATTTGTCTCAGTATTTCTGTAACCCTGGAACTCAAAAACGCATAAGACCATTCTCTGCTCAAACTTCTAAGGTTTGAACGTGTGTGTGTGTGTATGACATGGTGTTGTAAAGTGCCTTGGGGGGGGGGGGGGGGGGTCTGGGACTCTAGAAGGTGCAATATTAACAAAACAAAATTCTCAGAGCTTTGTGGGCCTGAACATCAGCAGCTCGAACAAACACACAAACAAACCTTGGTTATTTATTAAAGATCCTCATTACGGTTTGGTTTTATCCTTCTACAGCTTCTAATCCTTTTTCCTGCAACAGTTCAGAAATTATTCTTGTTTTTACATCTACGAGGCGACACTGATCTGATGTTTAAGGAAAAAATAAAGCTCAGATCTCACTTTTTGACTTTCACTCAAGTTGTGGTTTTATTCTTGTAAAATCTGCCTTTAATTAAGAAAATCAAACCACTTCCTCCTTCTTTAAATTTATTCTTGAAAATGATTTTGTCAACAGATTTTTTATTTCATATGTTTTAGTAAACCTTGTTGTTTTAAATTCTTCATGAGGTCATTGTTATGGATGAAAAGAGACTAAATGCAACCGGCTGTTGCTTTCGTTATGAACAGTTTTAATATTTAGGCGGCCTTTGGGTTCCATACCTGGGTGGGAAAGAGATCTCTAGTTCGTGCAGCCGATCCTTGAACACAGACAGCTCTCTGTCGAACTCTAAAAGCTGCAAAACGGACAAAGAACAGAAAGAATCAGAAAACATGCTTGGTTTATTATCCTCGTTACAGAATATGAACATCCAGGACCAGAAACCAAAGTGACTAGACGTCAGTAGTCATCTGTGAGGTGGACCTGGTCTTTGGTTTCATCCACCTCCTTCCTTCCACCTGACAGCAGCACATTACTGACAGCAGTTGACCAGTCATCCTACTGGGATGGTTTCCACATAACAACGGCGCATCCACACACTCTTCATCAATCATGTCTCTTCACCCAGCTGTACTCGCTCCACGAGTGTACACACACACTTCCCCCAGTTTCCCACCTTTCACAAAACCCATAAATCATTAATGAAAAGTGCAATTAGTGGCTCCTTGTACACATTAATTATCTTGGAGATGAACAGGTAGCTAGGGCACCTGCATGACTGCCTCCCTGAGAGACGTTTCCCAGCAACCCCTGGAGGACCTCCCGCTAGCCCCGCCCCTTTCCCATCAGAGAGGACGACATGGAGATGAAGCCGAGTCATGTTAGTTTACAAGACTCGAACACCAAGATGCAGTTCTGACCTGATGAAGACGACATCCACAGCGAGTCTGATGGCATGACACCACGGCGGAGCGCTCACCGTGGTGTTGATGGGAACATGATGAAGTATCAGCGGGGATAATGTGGTGCTCGTGGTAATATCAGGAAGGACGTCCTCACAATCAGGCCGTTTCCTACAGGAACTGTGGTATCAGCAGAAGATAAGTACCATCCTCTGTCTACGTTGACACGCTCTTGTCGTGCGTGTTTGACTTCGCATCAGCAGCGAGGACACGCTTCTAAACATGACGGCAAGCCGTGTGTTTGTGTGGCACTGGTGTGGAACAGCAGCCAATACTCCCAGTCACAGGGGCCTCCCAGGCAGAGTCTCCATGGCCAGGAGGGCAGATGTGCTGCATTCATCAAACCCACAAAACCAGGGGGGTCACAGAGAGACTCGTGGTTGAGCTGAGGATCCAACCCCGTCCTCTACTGTACATCCCTCCTACGCCCAACAGCACCTTCTACCTGCCAGGCAGGAGGACACCCAAACGTCATCTAAGGGTTCCCACGTCAAAGACGCCTCCAGCTGCACATTCTCAACAGAACGCCCTGAAGCATTAGTGCGAGTTTTGATTCTGTCGTGAGTCTCGGCTTTTCACTGCATTTTCACACCTGCACGTTTAGCTCGTTCAAACCCAACCCGGTCCTCGGTTCAGACCGGAGTATTCACCGGGTTAAAGTCCGGCTGTAGGACTACCTCCAGATGAGCAGCATATGGTGCAGTGAGTCTTCAGGTGAATGCTGAGTAATTCATCCAGGTAAATGGAAAATCCTGCAGCCAGAAATTTCACACCTCATTTCATCCCAGGTCAATTAAACATAATGCGCCACCGCTCTGCTAGGCGGGTCGCTCTGTGGCTTAAAAAAATATCAGCTTCTACCAGTTCAAGGCCTTCCGACATTATAGAGCCGGCAGTAGTTTGTCAACCAGAAATGACCTTGGGAGTTGTGGAGGGGGTGGTGCCAGGCGACGTCGCTGCAGCAATACCAGCAATGGAAAAGATGAAGAAGTGTCGGGGTAAAACTAGCCTGTCACAGGCTCAAATTTCTGACTCTGCCCGGATGATCTGTACGCTCCTAAATCTGATGTCCGCTGACGGAAGAGGAGACCAGGAAAAAAACATGAGGGACACGGCGTCTCCGGCTACTGAGCATCCCTCTGAGCCCGCCGGCCTCTTGTCCACCACCTGTAATTGTGCTTTGATTTACACATTGTCAAATGTTCCTCGTGACAACATCCGCTGCCATTAAAATCCATCGATAAACGGAGGGGTGGAAGGTCATTTAATTTGATCTTTACTCCTCACACTTGGCTTTTATTGAGGTGACCATATTTTTTCTTCTTTTTATGGTATCTTCATTATTTTGTGTGGAAAAGCTGTAAACTGTCACTGACATGGGGGGGCAGCTAACAGTAATTTTCTGATGACATCCCGCGGCGTCGTGATGCGTTCGCTGCATGAAGCTATAGCCGAGGGCGTCGGTCCTGATGGGGCTAAACAGGCAGCCAGTACTTCCTGTAATCACTCAGCGTGGAGCACAACTACATTAAATGACATAAGTCAGTTTATATTAAACCTTTGTAATCAGAATCTCCACTTAGGAGCCGTGACGGGTTCTGTCTCTACGCCGTCTTCCTGCCTTAAGCACCTCAGGAGAAACACCCCAGCAGCATGGTGAGGAGCGGCGCGCTGGGCAGGAAGGTCCATCACCCGCTAACGGCAGAACACAAACACATCCTGCTGCCGTGGCTGCCAACACCACACTGATAAAGTTAGAGTAAAGAGAAACTGAAACAAAATCAATGTGGGGGGAGGAAGGGGAGCAACAAATGTGTGTGTGTCCTCTTTCTCACACACACACCGAGCTCCTCCCATCGCTCCGCAGGAGCAAGTGCCCCTTGACGCCACAAGCCCCTGGAAAATTTAATCTTCCCAAATACTCATCAGGGCTCTCCATCGTCCAGCCGTGACAGCAGCGGGATAATTAATTATACAATTTCGATGGGAATATCGACTAAACAAACCTATTAATCATAGCAAAAGTCAATAGGCATGGACACATTCAATCATGTCCCAGCCAATGATTACTCCTCTCAAAATACAATAATTATTTTCAAGAGCTGCCTCGAATTAAATTTCTGTCAAGCTGGTACAAGTCTAGCAGTTGATGAAGGATGCAATGGATTTTCTCCCTGTGCCCGACCCCAGCGGAGGGGTGTGGGGGGAACATTTATCCTTTTGGAGAGGTAGTTTGTTTTATAAGGATCATAACACGGTGTGTTTAACTAGACCATGACCATCAGATTATCTCTGATGTCCCCATTAAGTCATCCATCTTGTCACGGGGGGGGGGGGGGGGGGGGGGGGGGGGGGGGGGGGGCTTCCTACATCTTTACAGTCGGGACTCCTAAACATCCCGCTGATCAAATCCAATCATGTCTTATTTTACAAGGTGGAAGGTCGATACTCGCTGGCAGGTTTGGTTTGGAGATTCTTTACCTCCGAGTAACAAAGCTTTATGTTCCCGTCTTTAGATCCTGAACACCAAAATGCTCCAAAAATACAGCCGAACAACGCTGGACTAATGAAAATAACAGGAAGTCAAAGCAGAAAGAGTAGCAGTGGGATGGATCGTGTAAGAATATAAATGTTTATGTGCACAGACACGATGTAGTTCACTCACTCGCTGACCCTCGTGAAAATAAAAAACAAGCAGGAGGACGTTTTTGCTGTTGGAAACATCAAGATCAAATCACATTTTACTAATATAAAAAGTCATTTCAATAAAATCCTCCAGTCTGATGATAATATGGAGAAAATGTCATGACTCCCAATCCTTCACCCTCCTCTGCCTTCATGTAGCACACCTGGTCTCATCATCAAGCCCCAGCCAAGCCCTGTTTCCCTGACTACCACAATCAGCTTCATCCACTTCACCTGCTCCTGACTCCTCAGCTCATCACTCACACCTGTTTCCCCTGCTACAAAAGAACCAGCCATCCAGTCATTCAGTGCCAGATTATTGAAGACTTCGTGCCAGTAAATTCTCCAGCAATTTCCCCCATGTTTGATTTTGTTTTATGAGCGCTGTTCCAGACCACACTCCACACTAGTTGGTGGCGGTAATGCACCATTCGTTGTTTGCCAACCGCCAATGAAACACCAGAAGAAGAAGAAGAAGAATTCTCCAGCAATTCACCCTGCCTGATCTCTGTCTCCGGACCTCGTTTTTCTCCTGACCCCTGCCTGAACTCTGCCTGCCTCCACAACCTCCGCCTGTCCTCAACCTCGCCTCTTGCCTGTTCCCCGCATCTGCATGTCCGATCTGGTTTTGACTCTCGCCTCCTCTCCGTCTCCAGCCTCGCCCAACTCTGGAAACTCTGCTTCAAATAAAGACTTTTTTATATATATATTTTTACTGTGTTTGGCGTCTTCACGGGTCTTCTGAGTTCTGTTCATGACAGAAAACTAAAATTATGAAATAAAACCTTCATTTAAACAGCTAATCTGGAAGAACAAGCTAGCTTACAGCATGTTTCACGCCTCGTAACGACTTCTAAGATCACAGCTATAAATAGATTGTAAAGATAAAACAAGAAAAGACGAAGTAATTAATAAAGTGGTTCTCTCGCATTTGCCTAAATACCTCAGCCAATAACACGGCTGCATCTGAAACCAACCGTCGGGCCATCCGCACTTCCCTGGTCCTCCACTCCTCACACACTTGCGTGCTCAGCAGCAGAACACCGCGGGTGTGAGGTCCTCCACTCAACGACATCAGAGGGAGAAACAGCCAGCTGCTACCGCTTCAGCTGTAGGACAAACTACCAGTCCTAAAACAAAAATACCATTTGAAGTTAGAGTCCCATTAGTCATCATCACACTGGTGAAATTGCATTTCTGCGTCTGACCCATCCCCATCCAGCAGAGCTCCATTTATGACCTGCCCAGATTCAAACCCCATCTCCCAGCCCCGGGCGGACACTACCACTAGGCAACTGAGATGGTCGTGGACAACAAAAAACGCCTGGACCGAGAAAACAGTGACTAGTGTTTAGCACCATCTCGTTTCACCTGGCAATGCGGGTTTCCGGTTCCGGCAGAAGTGGTGAGTGACTCGTGACCATGTTTGTGTTTTAGCATCAAGTAGGTGAGTAACTTTTATTTGTGCAGCCCTCATCACAGACAGAAAACCACAAAGTGCTTCACATGGATCAAAACAAACATTAAGTCATAAAATCATAACAATCTTCAAACAGAAATAAATTTCAATCAGAACAGCAAAGTCAAACAGATGAAAGATGAAACAAATTTCTGTTAAAAATAAGAAAACAAAAGATGTAGGTAAACACTGTTTCAATTAAAGGGTCTTCAGTTTCTCAGTATCATGACTACTCACCACTAATTTGTTTTAGTCTTTCAACTAAAATTCTTTCTAATGTTAGTCACTATTTAGTCCTGTTTGTTTTCATTTTGGTCTTATTTTAGTCGACTCTTCTTCTGGTGCATCGTTTTCACCTTCTGTAAAGGAAATGTCTGCTAGAAACGTTAAAAACATGAAAAATTCACACCTTGGACCAATAAAACTGCTTTCATAACAATAATTATCGGAAATGACCAAAATGAACCCTGACAGTTTGAAATAGTCCCTCTATTAACCTGTATAATGTGCAGTAATATTTGTAAATGGTATATTATTATTATTCAGCAGTTTTACT